CTATTTTTTTTTTTATTCACGAGGAAATGTTCCTAAAGCTTAGCTTGTAAGGAGTGTAAATACAAATATATAGAGTGCAAAATTTTATATTTTGTATTATTATATATATATTTATATTGTACATATTTGAATTTATACTCCTTCTAAACTGAGCCTAATGCATAGTTGCAAGTGATGTAAGGTGGGTGTCAGGACAATTATATGAGGAGGAAATACGTGTTCTTGTCTCCAATTTATCATTATCGTGGGGACATCAGTTTCTCTTTTGCTAGGTACAAAATTAAATTGTATTGTTTAGCATCATTGATAGTGTTATTTTGTTAATGCTTACGATTTTCAATTCGATAAACTATTTAGTTTAGTTTGGCCTCTTGAAAAATATACAGCTTATTTTCAATTTAATTCGTTGTGATAACGACTGAACTCAATGAATTATTGCTTTGCCCTTTATGTGTAAAAATAAGTAACAAATCATTTTCTAACAAGTAATAATGGGGTGTTTTGTAGTGTGGTTGAAAAATTGGTGGGTGTGGACTGATCCACACCCACACCCTGTGGTAGGATCAACCCACACCACACCATAGTCCATAACTATTTTGAATTGTGGACAAACCAAAGTCCACACCCATAGTGGCATTCTATAGGTGTGGTATGGATCAATCGACACCATACTTTTTGATTTCATGTATTTTATATACATTTTATGAATGATCTACACATTTAATTTTTACATTGTATATGATAAATATATTGAAAAAAGGCTTCAATAAATTAATATTAACAAATTAATATTAATTTAAAAACGATAATAAAATATATATATTTTTTAAATATTAAAAATATTATTTTATTAATAAAAACATAAAAAATTAAAAAGTTGAGTAAAATAATTAATAGTTTATTGATAAAAATATTAAAAGTAATATTTAAACAAACGATAAAACAAATTATTGCAAGATAAACATAGCATCAAACTATTTATGCAAATCAATAATCCATTAATTCTTATACTAGTTGTAAGACAAGCATAGCATCAAAATGTTGGTTAGCTAGTTTCTTGAAATGGTGCATAGATAAACCACCACACATACAACTAATACTTAAATAAAAATAATAGAATCACTATTATAAGAGATATAAGAAGAAGAGTACAAAATATGTTGCACCCATAACATGCAAGCAACATAATATCTTACTTGTGAAATTCAGCATGCCTTTGTAATGCATGGAGTCATACCTGTTGATGATGAGTAGTATAATCTCTATGTGAGGCCACCTGAGCATCATGTTCAATTAATTTATCTACCCACTAAAACGAGTCTAGGTGAGCTGTGAATTTGGATGGATGATGAAGACCTCCAACAGTAAAATGAGAAGTAAAAGTCATAAGATTTCAAGAAGAATGTGAAGCAGGGGATCAAAGTAAACTATGAATAAATCCTAACCATGAGAATTTATCGTTACTACTAAATTTGGGGTATGAACGGGACCGATCCATGATATAGCATAGACCGGTCTCATCCACAGTCAGCCAAATAGGAAATCCATCCTGTAGACTAGACCGAAAGCCCCCGTGACCATGGTGGAATGATCATTATCACGTACTTAATTTGTTAATGATATTTAATTAGACTTTCAAAGCCATAACATCAAGCCCATGGCAAAATTCGAGACTTCTTGCGACAGATTGACCTTTTCACTGACCAAGATATCATAGATATCGGTGGGTTGTAGGTTGGTAGAACTATGATGTTTGAAGGCCAACCGTACCCAACTTTGAGAGTTGGACACCTGGCTACAGCCCAGTTTAAGTCCAGCCCAAAAACACCAATGAGGTGCAACTTGGCAGATCAAGTTAATGGTAGGGATGCAAACAATCCGGATCCTGTCCACATACTCACAGGACACTAAAGTTGCACATTGAAAACATCTCCCCTATATTAGCATTTATGGGGAGATGCTGTCAATATGCAATTTCCGTGTAGGAGATCCGATCATATCTATTAAATGGTATATGATTATTCGAATTTGAATTCAATCCTATTAAAGGTGATTCAAAATTCGGTTTATTTATAATTGGATTAAATATGACTTATCCCTATCTGATCTAAAAGTCATTTTTAACTATCATCTTATTAATAACATATAATATTTTAATAATTTTTAGTCTAAATTAACATTAGATTATAATCCGAATTTGATTCAAATCCGCTAAATATGTGATTGATATGATCCGGTTCTAATTAGAATGTAAAAACAAATCAAATTCAAATACAATTCGATTCATTTGCATATAGGTATTGCAGTTCGGTTTGATCTTTTCTCCCGAAGGAGATTGCTTGAGTACTACTTTAAAGTCAGACAGTCTCTGGCCCTTTTTTCTTGTGACTTCCTTTTTCTTCCATTTTGTTGTCAAGGATTTTGTTCTTGACAGATGACTGCTTTGCTTTGACGATTCTCTCAGATCAATTGTAGGGTCTTGATTTCAGTATTTCATATAAGAACCTTTTGATTTAGGTTCGACTATAATATGAAAAAGATAGGATATCCAAAAAAACAACTGATGAATAAACTAGAATCATAAATTTATCAAAATTCATGGATGAATTTTGATTGATCAAAACTCTTTCTGTATCATATGTTTTCCGTATCACAGAGAGAGAGGCCCCTCCTTTTGCAATATCTATTTTACATGCATCAAAGCCTCGTATAGAAGCGAGGTATCTGCTTTACTTTGTTTTTCTTCTTTTTTAAGCCACATCTGCTTTATATATACGGAATACGTTTTATTTAAAAAATACATAACATATGAGAGAGTATAATTTGGCAAATTGTCATTGACTATAATATTGCTTGTGATTTTGTGAAGATTCGGTTGATAGAGTTATAGAAGGAACGGTAACACTGGATTTATCCATTTTGATAATTCAGTAGATCTTAACGTTAAGTTTTACTTACAGCCTTTTGTTATTTTTTGAACATTTATATACCAATGATTTCTAGATAAAAGCTTGAAGAGAAGAAAATTCATGGTTTTTGAACTGCTATTGATCTGGACAATTTGACCGTTCGGTTTGGAAACTGTCTAGGTAATCGGTTCCGTTTTATCCCAAATCCAGTCTTTTGGTAAAAAACCGTTGAAAAAGTCAATATCTCATTGATCTGGGCAATCAAATTATCGACCCATTGGCCCATTCAATCGTTTTGATTGTTTTCTATTTTTTTTAATTTTCTTTTTATTTTTTGTCAAAATAAGTCATCCATTCGAAACAAATGATTGAACCATTAACCCAAAAACTGGTGGCCAGAACGATTCCATTTCTGAACCATAAAAAAACGAGAAAACATTCTAAAATTTTCCAAAATAATATAATCAAATATGAAAGGGTAAACCGTGACACAAAAGTTGTACAAATAATTTACTAATATCACAATAAATTAGGTGTTGTGTAATATATCATTTGTCAAAGGTCTAAGGGTAAAAAAAGTGCAAGCACACAAAGCCCATAAAAATATCAGTGAAATGATTAAGGCACATCATATTTTAAAGGGGCACATAAAAGATGAATCCATTGTTGTGATAGTTTTATCCACAACCGTCTATACTTGATTGATGCATTGGAACTCAGGAGTTATTGGATTGCAGACATAACCCAAAACTCATTTGTTTATTGTTGCTTAATAATATATGAAACCGAAAATGCAATAAATAGAAAAAAGATGTTCTCCATTTAGGTTACTTTCATTTAAGCCAAGATACTAACAATAAAATCAAAACCTTTGATTTATTGTTGTGGCCCCACCTTGAATTAGATGACTGAGATCCTAATGGGGTCATAGCAATAAATCAAAGAACCAGGATTTGCTCCTCACAAAATTATCTCACATCAAATTCCATGTATTGGAAACATTTCCTTCGGTTGTGTTTAAAACCGATGTAAAACATCATCAGTTTAAGAGTACATCTATAACGTTTTGTATTGAAATGTTGAAAAGCGTGACAAGAAAAGTGGAATTTTACATCAATTTTCTTGATATAATATTTACATCAATAGTCGATGTAAAACTCTATTTTAAATGAAGTTTTACAGCGATTTATAACATAAAACTCCACTCTATCCAAACGTATACAAAATCAAACCGGAGTGGAGTTTCATGCCGATCTTGATTTACACTCATTCCACATACCAACAAAATCGAACTGACATAAATATGAGAGATGTTCCAAATGCAGCCTGACACTCTCTTTGCTAAGTTTGGATTTACACAAGGCTTCCAAATGCAGCCTTATGAATAATAACACAAATATGAGAGATGCTCCCGATGTGCTATTGAGACTTGTTGTGTGATCGGTGTGATGAGCGTTCTTTGAGGAGCAAACTCGGACTTAGGCCTTTATTTTTGGTTTTAGCCATGCATGACACTGTCTTTGTTAAGTTTGGATTTGCTCCTCACACCAATCTCTTGAATTCTCACATCTGGGACATTTTCATACTTGTAATTTATCATTTATGAGGAGATGTTCCTAATGCGACTCCACATCACCTGCCCATAAGAACTCTGCCCATGTCTACTCACATAACATTGCAGCCACACATGAAAAACATCCCACGTATACCCACAACACACTATCCCGTGAATTAGAAACTATACAGGAGGATGAAATGTTCTTCATGTGTGACTGCGATGTCACGTGAGTAGACTGGGCAGAGGTTGTCCGGGCAGGAGATTCGGACTCTCCTGATGCACATCTGCAACGTGCTGTAATATTAGTGAGGGGTGCTTTCTCGGGAATTCGTACCAAACACCACCCTAAGGTGATGTGCTCAAATCACTTTCGTTCTCGTGAAAACAAAATCAAGGAAATAATTGGCAATGAAATTTGACTTTCCAAAACCAGAGGGTCCACAACTCAATCCCACTCACACCCCAACACCAACTCCCATCTGCCATCTCCCCTCCCACGCCTTGATTAAAATAACGCTTTTTTCTTTTTTTTTTGTTTTTAATTTGAAAGAAAAATCATCGAAACTGCTCCGAAAAGAATCCAAAACCAGCTTCCCTGTCCGGATAAACGCGTGAGCGTGACCCCCCTCACCACCCCCCACCCCAACGCCTGACTATTGCCGACTTCTCTTTTTCTCTCTTACTGATTTCCCTGTAAACCCACCGACCAGAAACCCGCGAAACCGCTTTCGTCTCTGGTTTTAGGGTTTCTACGCCCTCTCTTTGGATCTATTTTCCTGGTATTGAGGCGTTCGTCATCTAGGGTTTCTTTCAATGTTTTAGATTAGGTCTTTCTATCTATCTCTCAGGCTTGTCAAAAAGATAAGAAATCTGTCCTCTCACTCACTCCACCGAGTCCTAGTTTTTTTTTTTTTTTCCTTTTTCTCCATCAATCATCACTTCTGGGAAGTCTTTCTGTGTGTGCGACATTTTCTTTTATATTGGGTCGTGATAGCTGTTTCTTCTTGATCCCAAAGGAACGATTTCATTTTTTTTTAATTTTTTTCTTGGTTTTAGGGTTTCGATCTTTCAAGCTTGGCTTAAGTTCTTCAGGAAAGGCTTTTTCTTGATGGGTTTTTGGTTTCCTTCTTTACTTTCGTCTTCTATTGGTGTTCCGACCTCATCGATCTGATCCAAATACTGTCTTTTACGTGAAATTGCTTGCTCTTGCTCACACTTTTGATTCGATCTCTTCCTTCCTTCCGTGTCTGGAAACCGGGGCAGTTCTTTTTTCTTTTTTCCTTTTTCTTCCTTGGGATTTTAGTACCATTTTCTCTGTTTTCTTTCGAGCAGTTTTGTTCTTTTGATCGGCATCTCTATAGTGTTTCTTTGATATTGAGATGGTGAATTCCGAGGGTTTGAGTGGTTCTCCGCCCCCACAAGCGGTAAGGCAGTATGGGGTGACGAAACCGATCTCTGTTGCTGGGCCAACGGAGGCGGATATCCAGAGAAGCTTGGAATTAGAGAAGGTGTGCATTAGGTTCTTTGTAGAGTGTAAACTATTGCATTCTTTGCCTTTCTGTTCGCATTCTGACACTTTATTGCTTGCCTGCAAGTTCTTGGTTGACGTTGGACTTTATGAGAGCAAGGAAGAAGCTGCTAAGAGGGAAGAAGTTCTTGGTCAGATTGATCAGGTAACCAACTTACTATTTTATTTTATTTGTACAGGCCTGTTAACCTTACGAAAAAGATTGGTCTTTTCTCAATTTAAAAGCCAAACTATCAGGTTTTTACGTTCTTAGGTGCGTAATGTGGAATATAGTTCTTCAACAACTTATTATGGATAAGAAAAAAAGTTCGTTTTCTGAAACAAATGGAAATTGTACCGAACAGTTGGGTGGAGATACGGAATTAATCATTGTGTATAGAATGGTATTTAACAATTTCTGAGATACAGGGCCACTTGTTATTTATTTATTTATTTATTTTTGATCAATAGGGCCACTTGTTATTTCCTTATTGTAAAAGATGGCATGCACGCATAGAAGTCATGTAGTGGTAGCTCAGATGTGGAAGCATGTTATGCTGCATTAGGGCTTTGGGTTTTGAATAAAAACTAGTATGGTCCTAAACTGCTAATAAATTTGGATGCAGTAGAACTGGTAATAAGAAACACCGTGGTTCCATAAAAGTGAGAAAATGCAACTAATGACTGTCATGGAAAAATGACCATCAGATGTATCCACAGGTTCAGCTAACAGTACTAGAGTGAGAGATTTGATAAAATAGAGTAATGATGGTAATGTGAAAACAATCTCTAAACAGTGAGGATTTGGGAAAATGCGGTGTTTCTGTTGTGAGATGACAGAAATAACCTAAGTTCTATGTTTCCTCCGGTGTTTTAAAAGCGCAAGGCGTAAGGGCCAACTTACGCCCGAGGTGCGAGGCGCAATGCGAGGCGCATGCCTTTTTGAAGCAAGGCACATAAATACAAAAAATTGCCAAAAAAATAAAATAAAGGTCAGAAAATTCAAAAAATTGCCAAAAAATAAAAAAATAAACATAATATTAATAAGAAGTATGAACTTAAATTTTAAAATTAATGGTTTAAAAACCTATTATCTAAAATTAAAATACATAAATATAACATGTAAAGCATATTCAAATGAAAATTTAAAAATAAAATCAAACATATAAAACATTTTCAAGCATGTAAAGCCCACAATCTTTTTTTTTCCTCAATTGCATTACTTCAAGTAGCTAATGTGATGTAAAACATATTACATTCCTGATTTTACGACTTGCCTTTGTGCCATGGCCCTTGAGGCAAGACCAAGCAAGTCCATGTTCGGGTCTTAAATTCTTAATTCTCACACAAAAAATAACGATTTTATAATTTTAATTGCCTTTTAAGAAGATATCTTATTGCTAATGTTTCTTAGCTATAACCTATAAAGGGTAGTAATGTTATACTCTTATTGCTAATTTTTCTGTTGAAGGAAGAAATATTGTTTTGTTTAGTCAGGTGGAAAAACTGGAAGTGGATAAAGGGCCAAAGAATACGAGAAAAATGTTAGGTGAATTAATCGAAAGGGATAAAAACAGTTTACTTGTTAGAATATTTATTTTTTCATTAATAAAAGGCAGAAAATGGTAAAATGTTATAAATATGACATGGGCAAAGGTTTTGAATGCAAAAAATTTCTCACAGTGCCTTAACATATTATTCTCTCTCCTTGCAGCATTTTTTATTCACTTTTGCATAATTTTTAGTGATATATTGTCCTTCTTGTAATCTATTGTAGCTTATTTTTTTTGTGATGGTTTCCCCCCCTGCGTTTTAGATTGTAAAAGGTTGGGTGAAGCAATTAACTCGCCAGAGGGGCTATACAGATCAAATGGTGGAAGAGGCAAATGCTGTCATATTTACTTTTGGGTCTTATCGATTAGGGGTAAGAATGAGATTTATATATGTTTTACGTAGAAGCATCTAAAATGCACTGTCAATGGTTCATGTAAACCTCATGTTTCAAAAGTGGAACTGCACACCCGTGATATTCACACTGTGTTGTTGGGGATTACTAGTTCTGAACTTTTTTTTGTTTAATTCTTATATCTTAAGTTTTGTGTTTCTTGTGATTTTTCAGTTGTATATCTTGTATCATTGTTAGACAACATATTTTATTCTGAAATTTCAGTTTGAAGCCATCATTCTGAGAAGAAATCAGCTATTATTTAGGTAGTCAATTTATCCTTTGTTTCCTGATTTTGATCTTTACTTAACCCTTGAAAGCTGAGTTCTTAATGAAAAAAGAGATGGAGAAACTGAGAGATAGATAGTGTAGATGTATTTTTGAATTTAGATGGGGGATTTGCATACTCTCATTGGATGGTTTTCAGTTTGACAGAGTGTGCAGGTGAGTCTGCCAGCTTGTTCTCTTGGCATTGCCAAATGACTGATTCATTTGAAAGTGGGAAGTTGAAATGGAAGAAAACTCCTCTGTATGACAAGTATCAGTAGCTTTAATATGTTATGAATGTCATGTAATGTACTTTTAGTGCTTTTCACTTTTGCAGGTTCACTAGTCATCCACTCGGTTCCATATAATGTATTTATTGCTAATTTGTTATCTTAACAAGTTGGGCTGAGAATCTTTATGTTGGTGATGGTGATGTAACAAGTTTGTAGTATTACACTATTATGTAATAAAATTGAATTCAACACATCTTTATATTCTTAACATTTTACTCTTATTTTTGTAGTAGAAAAAGGTTCCCCGGTTGGGCCAAATCGGGAACTTCCCTACATGACCTGCAATGTTTTCACCTTGCTGAGGGATGATGCGGTAAACCTGAGCTGTTAAACCAAATGGGATGCCATCTTTCCTAAGAAATGATGATTTGGAATGCATGTTTAAATAAAAAGTCCTTCATTACCCACCCTTGGCGTTTAGCTTTTGAAACTAATTGAATCATGCATTGCTCATTTATTTGTGTTTTGATGATGAAACATGTTAGCGTTAAACCATACTAAGAAACCACATACCCCACTTATAAAAATGTTTTATGGTTGTGCCTATCTTCAGTGAATTGATTGTCAGTTGCAATGGCACTAGATTGTTTGATTCCAAATTTGAAAACCTATAAAATGCTATAGGTTTGCTGAATTGTTGCATAAAACTGTAACTAAGATTGATATTCATAAATAAACTATATCTAAGAGTGATAAGGAAGTTACATTTTAAGTATTCTAAGTAGTTTGATTTATCTTCAAACTTATAATACTCTAAATAGTTTTGACTTATCGCTCTGGTCAATCTGGTGTTTTGGTGGGGGGGGTTTAAGAGATCATGATGTTGAATTTTTGATGAGCTATTCTGGTCCAGCGGGGCTAATTCATTAAGAGATGAGCTCTTAGCAAATCTACGAGAGCAAAAAACTGACCTGTAGAAGAGGATGGTATGGGTTTTTTGTTTATAGCAAGAGGGTCATTGTCCCTTTTTTTAGTTTTTTTTTTTTTTTAAATCTGGTTCAGAGGGGTCGGTTTAAGGCCTGTCTGCCCTCTGAACCATGATCTGACCCAAAACACTCCCTGTAGGGGCATATCGGGAAGCCCCCGATACAACATGTATTGGCCAATATGGTCCGATACGTATCGAAATTTTAAACGTTGGTTTAAAGTGACTGCAAAGTGGTTCTAGGTTGGACCCATTCTACTTCTGAGGGCGTTGGGAGTATATTTCCTTTAAGAGAAGCATAAATTTTAGTTGCCAATCTAAACTGCTTGTTCTAATGGATATCCAGGTCTGCCAACAGTTCAGCAGATATCGTAACAAAAATAGGGACCAATAAACCTGAATTAGACTGGGGATTGTTAGGCCCAGCCGCCCAGGTGCCATTATGCAACCGTTGTGTCTTGGTCTTTTTGAGTTTGTATGTCATCCTTTGGCTGTTTGTAACCTCTCAGTCCTTTGCTCCTACTTCCTAGGACTGTTGGAAGATGAGATCTTTTTATTTGAAAAGCTGTTGGAAGATGAGATGTTATTACCATTATTAATCATTCAACAAACTTTCTGTTATTGGTAAAAAAGAGATGGTGCTGACTTATCCTATATAAGTGTTTGAGGGCAAGAAGAGAAACTGGGGAAGTTAGCTGGGGTGGCAATTTTGATATTGCAGTGGTATTGGAGAAAGACAACCCCAAAAGAATAGGGCACAATTGGGGACAAAGATTTTGTCTCAGCAGTGGTTTTCTTTCTATGTTTTCTTTTATTTTTGTGTAATCTTTTAGTATTTTGGTGTTTATGTTTTCCTTGTCATACATATATGATAATGTATTCTGTTTTTATATACAAGCAAAATTTTCTTCCGTTTCTTTGTTTTTCATTGTAGGATAACAAAGTTCATATTGACTCAGTCGTGCTTCTGTCTCTAGGCACTCAGTTGCTTCACTGCCAAAAACTGCCATAGTATTTAACACTGTTATTTTCTTACATTGATGTTCTTTCTTGTGCTTAACTTGTGTATTCATGAATATGTTCTTTCTACCATGATGGTAGGTACATGGTCCTGGGGCTGACATAGACACACTGTGTGTAGGACCATCTTATGTCAATCGAGAGGTTAGTCATAAACTTATTGATCTTTAGTTTGTTTGTTTTGTTGAATCCTGGCATTGTTTTGGGTGATTTGAAATGCACTAAATGTTGTATTGCTTATTTCAGGAAGATTTCTTCATTATTTTGCATGGTATCCTTGCTGGAATGGAAGAAGTAACTGAACTGCAACCGGTTCCGGATGCTCATGTCCCTGTAATGAAATTCAAATTCCGAGGAATTTCAATCGATCTTCTTTATGCAAGTATCTCTTGTCTGGTTGTTCCAGAAGTAAGTCTGAACTAGTCTTTCTGTATGCTTATGTTGTTTCTTCTTTTTTTTTGATAATTGTTGTTTCTTTTTTCTTTCTTTTCCATGTTGTCCTTCCTGGTTCTGTATAAAGTATCTAGGTCTTTGAAATTCATTAATAATTTTTGAATTGTAATGGTCTTTGGAAGCTTGAAGATGGTGTTTCAGTTCCATAGTTGGGTTTGGAGAAAAATGTGACATAACATTGGAGGAAGGCCTGCATTGTCTCCCTTTAGAAAGCTAAATCAAGTTACTTATAGTTTGAGTTCCCTTTAGAATGTGAAATCAAGTTCCTGGTTTTGGTGCAAGTCATAAAAGTTAGATTTGATTATAGTGTCAATTTTTAACTTCACCATTTACTTGCACATGCACACATGCATAGCACGTCCCCTTGCACTAGTGTGTGTATGCAAATCTGTAATATTCTATTATTGTTCACTGTTTATTTTTATTTTAACAAAGCTTTAGGTACCTATTCATAATGGCTGAATAGGCTGGACTGAATTGCCTATCAGTTTATCTTTTGGTGAATAATCCATAAAATAGGGTTCTAGCTTTTTAATTGCTGAATGGCATGTTTTGGTTGCTACTTACCTACCCTCTGAATATTTCTTTATATGACCATTTTAGCCACTAAAAGACAAACTGATAAGCTATTAATTTCAATTGTTGCAGTCATGAAACAGTGCCTAGTAATTTTAAAATTCTTAGCCATCTTTTGTTCTAATAGCCTTCTAGACCAGGGAAGGTATAGGTTCTCCATATAGCATGAATTCAGAAGAAAGTGAAGAAAAAGAAAGGTTCAGAAAGAAAAAAACAGAGATGTCCCTCTCTATTTTCATCCATGTTTTGCTTTCTTTTAGTGACTGGTTTTATATGTATTATATTTTAAATTTGTTTATATATATATTAATATCTTTTTTTCTCAGAAAAATGTTTGCACTATTTTTTCATGTCAGGATTCACATTGTTATTAGCAAAGGACATGCTTGGTATCTTGAGCCAGTCTGTTATGCATCACTTCAATGCGTAGCGACATTCCTATTGCATGCAATACTTCTTTTTTTTGCATTTGGATGCTCATAGTTATTTGGTATGGGGCATGCTTAGTATCCACTAAAATGTGTGATGTCTCTTTTTGCAATTGGAATCTGTTATCTGCAATCTGATTATAACTTAACCTCACCTTGCATTCCTCAATTTCACTGATGCCAATTTTGTGTCCTGGAATAGTTTGTCGTTCTTAAGAGCATATCTAATAATTTATATACATCTTGGTGAGTTTTTCGGGGGTGTTTTGGGTCGGCAAGTGGTTCAGGGGGTAGCCCAGCCTTAAACCAGCCCCTCTGAACCAGATTCGAAAAAAATTAAAAAAAGGAGTACTGATACAGGCCTATACGCCCTACCGGCGTATCACCCTGTATCGATACTTTGAACCTTGATGGTACTTCTGCCCATTTTCACATTTCTTGTACTCATTCTTTTCTCTCTCTGATAGATTTTATTTTATCTTTTAAGAAAAAAGGTTAGGTTGCTAAAATAACCTAATGTGAATTATGAGGTGCTTGGCACAACTTCTCTTGTAATATAACACCACAAGTTAAACAATTTAAACATCTCTGCATTCTAATTATCTTGTCAGACTTGTTGAGTTCTTGAGTAAACTGTAAAATGGCAGGTGTAGTTTCTGTTTGAACTTCGGTTGAGGGGTATTCTTGTCATTTTTATAAGTAATGATTAAGATTATGGGAGCACAGGATGAGCACTTTTATGAACAAACTAATCAAGAAAAAAAAGAACAACTAATCAGTGATAATCTGATCACTTGTTAATAATTGCAGAATTTCAGAATAAGTAGGCCTACCAAAAGTAAACAAAATAAACTAAATGAGGGGTAACCACTTAACCAATTAGTTTTAGACAAGCGGCGATGTTTCAGACTTCCAAATGTCACCCCAGTATGTTTAGATATTGGTGATATGCCGTGATAAACTGGAATTGATTTGTGGACATATTTGATTCACAGGTTAGATAGATGATGTACAATTTTTTGTTGAACTAACTGTTTGTACAGGACTTGGACATCTCACACAGATCAGTGTTATACAATGTTGATGAACCAACTGTCCGAAGCCTCAATGGCTGCAGGGTGGCAGACCAGATTCTACGCCTGGTTCCAAATATTGAGGTGAAAATTTCAGCTGTTTGTCCATGGAATCTAATTTGCAGGCACTCTATTCCTTATCTAACTGCCTTCTTTTCTAATCTGTAGCATTTTCGTACCACACTAAGATGTTTAAAATTGTGGGCTAAAAGGCGTGGGGTTTATTCAAATGTGAGTGGTTTTGTTTCAGCTTTTCTTGTTATCAATATATCAGTTTATGAATTATGATTTATCGTTCATTATTGTCTGCAATCTTCAGGTCACTGGATTTCTTGGTGGTGTGAACTGGGCTCTTTTAGTTGCCCGCGTTTGCCAGCTCTATCCTAATGCAATTCCTAGTATGCTGGTTTCCCGTTTTTTCAGGGTTTATACCCAATGGCGTTGGCCAAATCCTGTGATGCTGTGCCCGATAGAGGAGGATGAACTTGGGTTTCCTGTGTGGGATCCTCGTAAAAATCCTCGTGATCGTACTCATCATATGCCAATTATTACACCTGCATACCCTTGCATGAACTCTAGCTACAATGTCTCAACAAGTACCCTCCGAGTTATGATGGAGCAATTTCAGACTGGTAACAAGATCTGTGAGGTAAGAAAATAATTAGTTTGGTGCATTCTAGTTGTGCAAACGGTTTGTTCATACCATTTTCTTGTGGTGCTCTGTGTGCAGGAGATTGAGCTAAATAAAGCCCAGTGGAGTGCATTGTTTGAACCATATCTTTTCTTTGAAACATATAAAAACTATCTGCAGGTTGACATAGTTGCAGCTGATGCGGATGATTTGCGTACTTGGAAAGGTTGGGTAGAGTCTCGGCTGAGACAGCTGACTTTAAAGGTATACTATCTTCTGAAACTTTACTGTGAACCAAGGGATTATTATAAATGTTGACCCAGAAGTATTATTAAGAACTTGTTGAAAGAAATGAAGGTTTTTTTCCTCATCTTTGTTCTCCATGTATTATTTGCACTTGCAGATAGAGCGGGACACATATGGGATGTTGCAGTGTCACCCGTATCCAAATGAGTATGTTGACACTTCCAAACAGTGCTCGCACTGTGCTTTCTTTATGGGGTTGCAAAGGAAACAAGGGGTGAGAGTCCAAGAAGGCCAACAATTTGACATACGTGGGACAGTAGACGAGTTTAGGCATTCAGTAAACATGTACATGTTTTGGAAACCAGGGATGGAGATATATGTTTCACATGTTCGTAGAAAACAGATTCCTTCATATGTGTTTCCAGATGGGTATAGGCGTCCTCGGCCATCTAGGATTTCAAGCCAGTTGGCTGATAAATCATCTCGGGATGATGATGAGACCAGGGCTGGATCAATGGAGAGAGGGCTCAAGAGGAAAAAAGATCTTGAAGATGGTGGTGTAAAGCCAGATAAACGGGCTTCCTTAAGCCCACAAAGGCATGATTCTCTTTCTCCAGAAATTAGTAGAAGCAGATCTGGTGGAGCATCTCAGTCCAGCACTATTGAGTGTCGAGTGGAGTTTCTGACAACAGGAATTCTGGATAAGAATGCTCACCCTGGATCTTCAGACCGAAAGTTGGGGACAAAAAAGGACACTGCACAGGATGATGTGCAGCCAGTCTCAATGGATAATTCGTCTTCGTTTCTGACTGATCATCATCCCACGTGTGAAGAGAACAGTAAACCTGGCATAACATATCAATCCAACTGCGATGGGGTCAGTGGGAATGGATTGGTAGGTGACATGGAGATTGCTCTTGTTGGTTCTAACAGAAGGCCGCTAGAGAATAAGGATGTGAAGCTCAACATTTTGGACAAACAGGTTTCAGCTATTTCAAGGCAGGAATCGCTTACCCCTTCCACAGAAGATTTATGTCAAATGGATGGTGAGGCTAATTCTGTATGCAGAAGGCTTACATGGGCAGGGGGTGACGTTGTGGATGAAAGGGAGATGGTTAGACTTGAGCAGCAATCACTGGCCACTGAAAATGCTGATGGTGCTGGTTTAGGAGATAATAGCATCCCAAATGCTGCACGTGAGGTTAGTTCCTCTGAGGAAGTCCAATCAGAATCTGTAGCAGGTAGCGGTGAGAGCACTGCTACTGGGGCTTTGAAGGAAGTGACAACTACGGCTCTTTGCAGGTTGATCCATGTGGGGCAGGCTCAGAATCACTTTTGGACAATGGGTGCCTAGACGGGAGTGGGATATTTCAGAATAGTTTGACAGAGGAGCTGGAGGTTTTGGATTCTCTCTCTACTCCAACCATCATTTCTCCATTCGAAAATTTATTCTTATCACAGTTCCCCATAAATCCTCAAGCCCTAGCATTTTATAGAAAGCACACAATTTTGCCCTGTACTGACATGTGGACTTTTGATTGCTCCTCTTGCATTCTGCTTGAAGCCAAATGCTGCACTTGGAATGGTGCTAAAAGCTCGGAGTGGTGTTAATAATTCAGAACCTGTGCCAAAATCGGTGATAAGGCATGCATTCCTGAACTCTATAATTTTTTTTTTTTTTTTTTTTTTGGGGGGGGGGGGGAGGGGTGGGAGTGTTTGTACTGTGTTGTCTTTATACTGTCCGGTTTTGGTCGTTTGTCTGGTTATTTATGGCAGGTTGAGTTTGACGTCTACAGCTTGAAGAACCGATGCTGAGCTGATCAAAGGTGCTTTAGAAGTATATGGTGGTCAGATGGAAAGCCAGCATGGTAAGTATCGAATTAATTGCTGGCTTTCATTTTCATTTTTCAGGCGTGCATGCGTCTTTTGCGGACTGGGAGCTGTTTACTGGTGATCAAAAGAGATGCCAGAGGGAAGCTTATTGGTTACGTGTACAGTCGTAATTGTGTATTATTGTTGGGCTGCTGGAGCTGCGATTGAATAGATCACACTTGGCTCCCTTGGATCTTGGAAGAGGTGTTGGGTGCTTTCAAAACTTTGCAGTCCTATGATTTTTCTTCCGATTTTCTTGGAGGCCATGGCCATGAGCCCATGATATGGGTTATCAGACTTTTTATGGGAAGTTGCATCTTTTTTTTTTTTTTCTTTTTCTTTGGGAGGGGGAAGGGGGGTTGGGTTGCTTCTGGGAATATATATGATGTGGTGGTAGCAGTAGCTAGCTGAGGAAGGGTCTGGTATTCCGAATGACTATTGCTTCTCTGGGCTGTTGCCCTTTCCAAACTCAATGTAAATTGTAAATTTGGTGCTATTAATACAATACTGGTACCTTTTTCGCCTCGCTCGTTCTGTACATTGTGAAATACAGTTTTGCTATCCTTATTATAGAAATCAGAAATCAACAAGTTATTTGAACATAATATGTCAACCGCCCGATGTGCATAATTACATTTAAAATGAAAGTGGTTGATGTCAAGGGAAAAAAATAGGGGGTAGTGATACTTAAAAAAGAACCGATCTTTTACTTGTGACCGAGAAGTATCCAATGCTTAAAGACTCGAACACTATGCTCCTTTTCCATTAATCGCTTAATGCCTATTGATGTTTGATTAAATGTGATAGTAGGAGTGCACTTTACATTGTTCTTGTTGGCATGTCTCTCATAGATAGGACATACAAACCAAGAAATCTTTTTCAAGTTTGTATTTTGTAATATAAACTCGTATTCCTATCATCCATAAGGTAAATGACGTGAGATCTTTCTCATAGATAGAAAACATCGTGATCATCCCAAAAGAAAACAGAGGAATATCCATTTAAATGTAAAGATCTTTCTCAATTTATAGCAAATTAGTGATTTTTCTCATTTTCTGTTCACTGTACCTAAATTTCTCAAACACCCACGAACTGAACAAGGGAATAACAATAGAAAATGATGAAAAATCCCTAATAATCAGGAAACGGAGAATCTCTTCAAAAAGTATGGCCATGGATAACTGAAGCCCATCAATATACTGTTTGGACAGAACATGGAACCCCACGTTTCTGATTTTAAACAGCATAACTGGGGTTCCATGTTTTGTCCATTCTCTGTTTGTGTAAGTGCGAGAAAAAACGATGAACGCTCAGAATTTGGATTTTATTAGATAGAGATTGAAGGAAGATGGCAAAAATGATCTCCAAAAATAAGGATAGTTTAGGATTTAGAAATGTTCGAAAATGCACATGGCATCACTTATCTGAGGGATTGCTAATGGCTGAACTCGAGTGTTGGAATTTGAAAGTACATGATATTTCTCTGTTGCAAGTGAAAGTTCGGGCCCTTAAGGGTGTTGTTTGATATCCCTTCCATTTCCTTTAGTTTCTTTCAAACCAAACACAGCTTAAGTATTATGACCCCCAAATACAGTGTGGCTTGTAGTTTCCTATAATTTTCCCTTAAAAATATCAACACAAGATGCCTGATATAGGGCATCTTGTATTGGTCTTTGAAAGCTAGTAAATCCCTTAAGTGTTTCCATCTTCTAAAACAAAAATAGATTTTAATAACATGTCTTCATTTTTTTTTTCTAATGTTGCGATTTTAAAAACAAATGAAAACAAAAGCATTCATGTTTTTGATGTCAAATATAGCAAGTTAGTTTTATATAAAAGTTTGTACATACACAAAAGGCAAATACTGGTATGCATTCCCCGTAACCCCCTTATATATTGGTATGCATTCCCCGTAATAACACGGGGTCCCATGATATTTGTGGTTGAGGTTTCTCACTTCTCCTATGAATGACAGTGATTTCCACATGATACCATGCAAAATAAACATCTTCCATAGATATCTGGTTGGTTATTTGGTTCGGTTTATTTTTTGGACTCATTGGGGGGGGGGGTAAAATTTGAATAGCTGGCAGATCAGAAATTGGAATCACTCATTTCAGAAATGGGAATGAAAACACAGTTTAGTGTCATTTAGTAAAAAAGAACTTGAGAAAGGGAAAAGAAGAAGCTATGTGCATTTAATTTAAAGGTAGTGAATATATGGATTTATATGGGACATATCTGATGGGCCCAGATAGGAGTCAATTTGAGAGGTCGGTGTGCTAATGGAGTTTTGTAGAGAAAATCGATAAAGCAACCATGAAAGAGGCATGTGTGAAGGAGATTGGCTCCCCCTTGGCAGAGACATGTCATGCCAATTTGAGAAAATTGGGCAAGTATGGGTGAAATATCTCTCAATTGTTCTCGTGGAATCCTATCCATGTTGCTTCTTAGGATGACAAGAGCCCCGTTTCGTGGAAAAGGTGCTTTTGTTTTGCTCCTCTTCTTCCATTTTTGTACACACCATGATGAGGATTGGGCGATAGTGCTCTTGGTGTTTGAATATTGCATTTACTCTCAGATTATATATATTCGTTTTTTACTTTTTAGTGCCATCTTTCTCTCTCTCTTTCTCTCTCTCTCTCAAGTATTTTATATTCCACTAGTTTTTAGGAGAAAGCTCCCCAACAGCCACTAAAGCCCAGAGGTGCACCTTGGGCGAATTGGGTTGATGATCTTGTAACCAGTGTTATTAACCCACACTGAGACTTCGGTAGATCCATCACCTGATCAAAATTATGGATTTGTTTCACAAAAAACACATTGGCTTGGTCAATGAGCTGGTGTTGATCAACATTAAGACCATATCCATGAATTCTGTTTCCCTATTCCCTTCTGTTTAAGTCATGTTAAGACCATATCCTTTGTTGAATTATGGGAACTTAAATCATTTTTAACTACTACTTAAACCTATGTTCTTTTTTATCTATCCCTAACCCTTTTAGCCCCCTTCAACTTGCAGCATGTATTGTCAAAAATATAATTACAATCATATATCTTTATAATTTATATACTATTATTTAATTACAATATCATGGATTAATTAACCTGGATTAAACACTGTCCTATAACAGCTAATAATCAACCTGTAAGCTGTAACAGCACGATACGAATCTAGCTAATAGGTTAAAAGGAGATTCTCCAGCTAGCCTCCAAGTTGTGGTTATCCAACCAAACTCTACAGAACTTGTGGCTGTGGTGGGATGTTAACCGGATTGCCGGGCTGGGTTCAGTAAAATACATCCATTTTTCATGTGGGAATCATGTGGATAAAATAGTGGTGTCGATCCATGACATTGTTTTTGTCTTTTAGTTACCTATATATCAAAAAAAAAAAAAAAGTTTTTGCCTTTAAGTAGAAAAGTGATTATATAATAAAACCACTAAATAGAGAGGCTACTTGTTACAAGTCATCTAGTTCAGCTACTTCAGTTTAATCAAAACAGCACCAAATCCTTTATATTTTCTCCAGTTAGGTTTGGAGGTCCTTTCATAGATATTTTTTGTCAAGGCTACTTTGGGAAGATCGCAAATGCTGGTTTGGTTTTGATGGTATTTGGAAAATATGTAAAATGGCAGCAAAATTTTCATTCAGAGTTGGTCAGTATTAGAAAGGTAGAAGATTTCAGTCTTGGTGTTCATGTTTGTACCTATCACAACTAAAAATTATTTGGCAAGACTACAAAATTATCATTATAAATATAAACCAACTTTGCATTTTATTAACAAGACATTTGCATTTATGATGAACATTTTTGTATATGCACTCCTCCCAAACGAAGCCTAAGTAGAAGGAAAAGGAGACAAATGTGCTAGTTGCTTTTGTATTGAAAAACAAAATCATTCACATTGGCCTAGGGGTATTCTTCCACTTGCTTGTGAATTTCAAAAAACAAATTACAACATTCTAGTTTGAAAGCAAATTCAAATTGTTTCTTAAATAAAAAACATGGAAAACATACTGTAAATGTGTTTTTTTCCTTTTTAAAAGCAAAACCAAAAATGTGATATTAAAATTTCAGCATTAAAAAACTTTATTTTTTAATTTTAAACCATATAATGTACCTCACTGTGTTCAATTGGCGACCTGGGTGACTAGGGTTCAAATGTTGGAAATCGCCTCTCTGTATGTGACATGGTAAGGTTGTGTACATCTGTCTCTCCCCAGTCCCCTCATTAGAGGGATCCTCATGTACTAAGCATATCATCATCTTTCATGAATTATACAATATCTGCATGTACTTTCATGCAATATCTGTATTTACCTTTCTTTTTCAAACCAAACACAGTCTAAGATTTGTTTTTATTTTAAAAACCATCCCTTTAATGGTTTCCATTTGTTTTTGATTTTCAAAACAAATTAAAACACATTTTTAATTTTTTTTTGTTGATATTAACAATTTCAGAAACAAATGAAAACAATGTAGAACACATTTATAATTTTTTGTTTTAGTTTTTAAGAGAGTGATTACGTGCATGATTGAGAAGGATGATGATATACGATGAAGGGAAGGGGGATTAGGGCTTATGAAATCTGTAATGAGTACTAGTAGCAAGGTTTAACATTTCGATATGCCTCTGTGTATCGATAAAGGCGTATGGGAACTTAAAAACACATGGAAATTCTTTTGTTTTTTAGTTTTTTTTTTTTTTTTTTCTTTTAAAAATTTAGTTTTTGGAGAGTAAAAAACATGTTTTTATTTTATTGAAAAAAGGTAGGGTCCCGAAATACCTGGAAGTAAATGTATCGAGACTCAAAAGATACAATACAATACAATACATGAGATACGAAGCGGAATACAGAATGTATCATATCAAAACTTTAAACCTTGAATAATAATAGGACCTATTTCAATGGTGTATGCATGTATCCTTCTTGCTCTGTGCCTGTACCTGTAAATTATATAGGATTAGATGTATGTGGTAATTTGTTTTTGAGAGAGAGGGCGACCAAGCAAAGCATTGGGCACTCTCTCTCTCTCTCTCTCTCTAGCTCCCAGGAGCCAGGACTCTGGATTTGAGACCTACCGGCTACCACCACACATTCACTTATGAAGACAATATCGTTTGTCGGGATAGGGCAAAGTGAGAGACAGAAGGAGAAAGAAAAAAACAAGTAGCCCACTCACAGTTCCACTGCTAGTCTGTCCCTCTCTAAATTCTTCTGCCTCTCACAAAACCGACAAACATACGCCTTTTTCTTTTCCTTCCTCACTGTCAGTTTCCATTTTATCCTAGCTAGTCGCAAAAATCCACTCACTCCTCAGTCCTGAAACATGAAATTTCTCCACCACATTTTTTTTTTTTTCAAATGGAAAAAATAACAAAAATATTCTAGTGGAGACCCAATAAAATTTAATGGGTGATTGGTGCTTATCTAGAAATTTTGTTTTTTTCTGTGTTCATCAGCCGCTTGTGGTTGGGAAACAAAAAAAAATTTAAACGATGGAACACATCAGAATATCGTATTTAGGAGCTCGGGAGGGAGAGAGACACCTAATTGGATCTGTGTAAGTAATGGGGCTTCCATCTGGGTGGCGCTTACACTTACCGGCCGGGATAAAGAGTTGGGCGGTACATGATTACATTTTCTGCGGGTGCGGGTGGATGAGAAACTTATTTACCCTCTAGGCCTCTACTCTAGGGATAACCGATACTCTTCAGAAAATTTATTTTCCGTGGGTCTCATTATTGTGGAGCAAGCAGGTAGGTATTAGGTAATAGGTTGGCCAATTTTTCTGTTGATCAACTTAAAAAAAATTATTTTTTGCAAGATACAGGAAAACGAATGAGGCCTCAGTGTCATATGATCGTTAAATTGGAATTGGAGTTGGCTATTGTCAAACCAAAGTGAAATTAGAAAAATTGTTGTTGAATCAATTGACAAATAACTGTGCATGAAGACAACAACTGAAATTACATTGCTCAGGAGGAGACCATCTGGAACTCAGACCTGTTCATCAATTTTGAATGGGAGTACTTAATAAAATAGGCTTACTAGGAATCATAAATAATTTTGGATTTTGGATTAACAATATTTAATTAACACAACATCCCCCTCCCCTTTCCAAATTTCGAATCCACTTCTTGTACAAAAAGTGCCCAGGCTTCTATTCTAATTCTAATACAAGAAAAACCAAATAGTTGTACTTCACAACCCAACAACAATAGTATTTATTGTTGGGATAAAAAAAAAAAAAATAGGTCAAGGATGTTCTAATCAGTAACCCTCCAATTTATATTTAAATTTAAATGAAGAAGAAGAAGAACTACACTATGAGTTTAAGCTTGGTGGAGATCAACGGCTTCTCTTCCACGCTATCACCTCCGACTCCTACTTCTCCACGCACAGCGCATGTAAGCAGCTGTGCTCTTTTTGCCTGAGCATCCCAGTCCGTTGTCCACACTACATACAACATGAGTCCAGCACAACAAACCTGAGCAGACAGCAAGCCCAACCAAAGCCCACAAAAGCCCACCCCAACCCAAAACCCAAGCCCAATTGCCACCGGCATCCCCACGACATAAAACGCTCCCAGGTTGACGTTAGCAGCCGTGGTTGGCCGTGCAGTGCCCCTCAGCACCCCACAACCAACTGTTTGTGGACAGTTGCCAATTTCGCAAAGTCCCAGGATGGGCAGAGCGGCGGACGTCAACCGTAGGATCTCCACGTCCGAGGTAAACATACGGCCCCACTTGTTCCTCATCCCCCAAGTGAATGCAGTGGCCGATACTCCCATCATAAACGCTACCAACACCGCTACCGCCGCTGACACCCTGGCTTTGTTCGGACGGTTGGCTCCCAGCTCGTTTCCTACACGTGTTGACACGGCGAAGCCCAGGGATGACGGAAACACGTAAATCAGAGCCGTTGTTTGTATCAGAACGCCCATGGAAGCTACCGTCGCTTTCGGGTTCGTCAACAGTCCGCACAATACGATTATAATCTCGTACCACCACCACTCCAGGCATACGGACACGCAGCTCGGCCCCGCCAGTCGGAGAAGAGGCTCCCATCCAGTCAAGCACTCTCGGCTCGGCGTTATCCACGTCGGCAGGTGTAACCCCGTAGCCCTCACGTACCCAACCAGGAACAGCAGTGCGAACAAGTTCGAAGCCGCCGAAGCGATGGCGACGCCGGCTATCCCTAGTTGGAGGTGATACACCAAGAGGAAGCCTGTGGGTACGAGGAAGATCGCCCCGGCCAATGACGCTAAGGTGAGTGGGTGGGTTAATCCCTGCGCCCGGAGATAAATGCGGACTGGGTGCAGGAAGGAGTTGGTGAGGAGGTCGGGAAGAGAGAATAGAAGATAGCTCTGTGCGAGATTTGTGATTTCAGGATCCTGGTGTAAACAAAGAAGCAGCTTGGACATGCTGAGCCAGAGAAGAGATATGGGAATTGAGGAGAAGAGTAGAAAAATTACAGAGCGATGAAGGGTAAGGGCCAGAAGCTTGGGACGCTGAGCTCCAAATGCTTGCGCACATAGAGGTTCCATGCCCAGTGCTAGACCGGAAAGGACAGAGTAACCGGTGATGTTGGCGAAGGCTATGGCAAGGGAGCCAGCAGCAAGTTGTATATCACCGAGGTGGCCCAGGAAGAGCATGGAGAGGATAGAGCGTGAGTAGAGAAGGAGCGCTGTCAGGGCGATGGGGAAGGAGAGGTTGATGAGGGTATTGGCTTCTGTAATTATATCAGAGATTGTGTGGTGTGGGAATTGGGTTTGTTTCTCCTGAGCTGGTTTTGGATTTTCTGGGTCGTCATTGGTGTTGTTGGGTGGTAGGGATACAAAAGCCAAATAGATCTTTGTGTTTGAGGGCTGTGCTGGGTTTTCGACCACAGCAGTAGTACTGGTTGTAGTGGAATTTGGACTGCACATGGCGATGGAGAGGTAGTCTAATATCTCCTCCTTGCAAATGATCTCTCTAATTTTACTTCTGCAGTTGTGCGGCTGGTGGGAGATACTCTCATGAAGAGCACTCCAAGTCCAGGAGTCGGGCTACCTCCCTTCCCTCCTCTGTTTTCCCTCCCAAGAGATAAAAGGGTCTTATCAAGTAGCTAGCTGATGAAGAAGAAGGAGAGTATTAATATAGTGAGCTGGAGTGGCTTATTGATGATTTTTTTTGTCTTCTTTTTCGTCGTTTGAGAAAATGAGAGAGAGGACGCCGGATCTCCTGTCCTGCCCACAAGAACTCTACGCACATAACACCACCCCCGTGCATTGGGAATATCTCCCCGTGTATAATAAATACTATGTATATGTATGTAGAGAATGAGAGAGAGAATATCGGGACGGTCCAACGTGGCCAAAGAGATGGCACTTGGCAGCAGGTTTTCTTTCAAATTTCAATACCAGGGAATATTATATAATCCAAGTCGTAGTCATTAATAAGAACAAACAGGTGAATTCGTCTCTCTCTCTATCTCTCTCTCTCTCTATCTCTCTCTCTCTCCATTTTCAAGAGGTGCCGTCGTCTGTGAATTCGTCTCTCTAACTCCGGCAGGTGTGCATCGTGGAGGAGAAACCCACTGCGACGGAGTTTTAGCCCAGGGCTCAAACCGTGAAATCACGGCCTTCAATGTTTTTCTGTGGTCCCACCTTCATGTCCAAGAAGCAGATTTTTCTTGTCCCAAGCCCCAACTGTTAATTTTCCATTAAAACTAAGGGCCAGTTGGGTTTGCCCAAATGGAGGTTTGGAATTAGAATCGGAATGGATTATTCTCATTCCAACTGTTTGGTTGGATGGAATCTGAATCACATTCCCATTTCTGGTATAATGGTATTGTTCCACCGAGGGAATGGTCATTTCCTCCTCCCCCAAGTTCCAAAGTCCCATTTCGGATGATTCCAATTTTCATACCGATCCCTGTCTGAAGTCTGAAACAAACAAACTATGAGAATAGACCATTCGGATTCCAATTTGGAGAGATTTTGATTTGTAAACTATAAGTACTCTTAACTTACTACCTATCTATCCTCCAATTCAATTATATTGTTAGTAAATCAGTAACATAAATAGGATAGTAGGATGGCCGGAGAAGGCAACCCAAAATTGTCTTTGCATTTGATTTTGTCGCGTTAATGTCCTCTCTCTCTCTCTCTCATAGAATCTCAACTCTCAACCAATCAGCTGTACAATAAAGGGTGGTACTGTGGCAATTCGTTAAGTGAAGTAGATGTGATGAAAAGCTGTCCTAAGCCAACTCTAAAGTTTTAAAGAGGTCAATGAGTGTACAGTTTAGATGGTCGGTTGGCATCCCTTCCGCTTTGGCCCCAGTTGGGACCAAAGCGGGTGCCATAGGGGCTAAGCTAATCGTCCAGACCCAGGTAGCAGCTGGGATGCATGCAGCCGCACTGGGCTGGTCTGGCATTAGACTTAATTAGACCCTGCTCTTATTTGATACATAAGCAGCGTAAGCCAACAATAATGAGAGATGCATCACGGAACTAGTGCAGAAAAAAGTGTAGGACATCCCCAAGTCCCCTAATGTGGGTTAAAGATGTATATATTAACCATACCAAATATAAGTTTAAAAGAGGTTTTGTGTGGTATGCAGCACATCTTACCTACAACCCCACCATGAAAGTACGTTGGTCCTGACTCTTTTTTATTTTTGGTAAATAAAAGGTATATTCATTGAACAACTAGAAAACTAGAAATAGAGCATTTATAATTTATAAACAAGAGACAACCTATAACAGGAGCAAACACCCACCAGCAAGAACAAGGAAAAAAGGCTCAAAGAAGACAGACAAACAACACCGACAACTGAAGAAAAACAAAGAAACTAACTATATACAAGGACATCAATAAAGCACCAGTTAAGGGCATCAGGGCATGTCTTTCTAACTTAGTGTCATTTTATTGAAGGATAGTTTTGTTTTTTCTTTTCAACTTTTTTTTTTTTTCCAAGTGAGGTGAGTTCATGAAAGTGCAACATTAATAGAGTTTTTCAGAAAAGGTAAGTGTTACTAAGGCATGTCAAGTAATAGAAGAAATTTTAGTAAATATCCAAAACTGAAGGGAAATTTTAATAATTCTTAGGTGGTATAAATTAATTTTATTCATTGGGAGAAAAATTAAGTTGAAAACAAATTGAATATATGGTTCTGTTTGTTGGTAGTGCAAAAAAAAATGGAAATCTTAGTAATTCTTAAAGAGTTTAAAAAATAAAAAAAATAAGGCTCTATTTATTTGTAGTGCAAAGCTGAATAGGATAGAAAATTATTTTCACCCAGTTTAGGTTTGCATATGTTTGTTTTAAACCAAGATTTACTCTTATTTGATTTAAAATTTGTATAGCTTTTTTTTTTGTGTGAATTTTGTATTCATTGGCATTGCAAATTTTGCATCTAAAAAACTGATGCAAAATTCGCTCCTCCTTCCCCGTGCTACCTTTAATACTCTCACATACAAAATTGGGGAACACAATCCTATTTTAATCCTCCCAAACAAAAAAGCCTACCTCCCACTTTGATTTTCCTTCATACAAAGTAGGGAGTAGGGAGTAGGGACCATATCATTTTACTCCTCATCACTAGCAAACAGAAAAATGTCAAATTTAAAGAAGGCATAAGTAACCGCCAGAATTTACACCGAGTCCACTTGCACTTGCATGCATTTACACCAATATATATATATGTGCAAGTGAAATTTGTACTGCAAACAAATCGAGTCTTCAAAAGGTTTGTCTTGGGAAAATGCTAAGGAAACTCAAGTCTGTGAAAGGACAAAAACAAGGACACTTTTTCACATGTATATGTCCTAAAGAACTTAGGTAGCGCCATTTGAGTTTCTGTAGCATTCGAAAATGTCACTACAAGCCAGCTAGGACATAAATCTATAACCTCAAGAAACCCCATTGTATTTTGGATCCATCCACATACATATAATGGTGGTTACAGTCAATTTAATCTCTCTTTCTCTTGACTCTCCACAGTTAGTTCACATCAGAAAGCATGTTGTTCTTGTGAATTGATAGAATTTGGAAACCTTTCTTTATATCTACTTCCGTCTTTGTACCGTGGAGTTTGACCCAAAGGAGACTCAGGGTGTGTTTGGTAGTGTGGTTTTTATAAGGTATAAGGTATGGTGTGTTTAAATCTATCGGGTCCCACTGTCTTGTGGTCAGAATAATGAGGTTTGCACTGTGTTATGGGTGTATTATTAACAAAATTTTAAATAAAATTAATATTTCACTCAATTATTATGTTACGTAATAATCCAATTTATCATGACGTGGATTGATCCACAAGATTTTGTCAATGAAGAGAATTTGTGGTATTTTGTTTTTCAAATAATAAAAAGCGAAATTTTGTGTTTCAAAAAATCCACCATACAAAACACCCCTCATCGCCAGGACCCACAAGTTTTTGTTATTTCCTCTCAAATCTCGACCTTTGGATTTTAGTCAGAGAATTGATGGGGTAGTCTATCCCCAACCCGAGTGCAGGTGGGATTCGATCCCAAGTCGATGCTATGATGACCAGTAGGAAAGTCTTCATTGTGTGGAGCCAGAAGCATAAAAGATCTTAAAGAGCAACATCGTATTATCTTCTATATGTACGGGAGAAATCAGCTACTCCTGTTGTTGTAGGTATAGCCCACGACATTTGATGCTTTGCTGTTAAGGCTGTCGTCAATGGATCAGATATTGGTCCAATCTAATCCGGTCCAAAACGAATTCATTACAGATGAATCAGATCCAATTCAATCTGATGAATGTTTTGGGCCACTTTGGATTGGCCCAATTCAATGGGTAGAGCGTTCAATTTGTTCAAATTGGTTTCAATTTAGGTTTAACCCAACCCTGATTCATTGAAACCCGTACTCTTATATTCTATCAATGGACGAGATCTTGATTCAACCTAACCCAGTCTGATATAAATCCATAATAGATGGATCAGGTCTAATCCAATGCAATAAATATTTTAGACCATTAAATTTGGACAGAGTTTCAGTTCAATATGTCTTATTGGTCTGTTAAATCCGATAAAATTGATTTTGATTTAGGTGGATCTGATCCAAACCCAGTCCATTGACACTCCTAATTATTCTGGCCCCACTTTACGACACCTCATTCAATTCAAAGTGTAGCCACATCAATAGACAAGGGTCATCATCATGACATATTCACCGGGTTAGCCCAGCATTACAACTGAGTTTTGTCATGGGGATCTTAAAACGTGTTTTTCTAGTGTCCTTTTTTTTTTCTTTTGGTTTTGAGCTTAAAAAACACAAAGTCATATACTTGGTTTTGAAAATACATTGATTCTCAAAACAAGGACAGAGAAATATGTTCTTGGTTGTGTGACTTGTTTTTAACTGAAACTAGAAAGTAGAAACATGTTAATGAGAGTTTCTGGTTGTGTATTATGGTTTGTGAAGTATACAGTATATATTTAGATGGAGATTTTAATTGAATGGATACTATTCCATCTTTCTTATTCTATTTTTCTTTTTCTTTTTTTTTTTATTTATTTTTTTATAACTTATACTATCACAAACTAAATACTAGTTTACTTTACGAAAGTGAAAACATGCATGTTTTTTGTTTTCAAAAGCATAAAGAGCATATATATATATATATATATATATAATATATTAAAAATGGACATAGAAAATAGAGGTGTGCTTCTGTACACTCCCTTACCTGCTTCTTATGGAACAAATGATATCCCTTTTGGATTTTCATCAAATATCAGCTTCTGACATTCTCACATGGGGCCGCCTAGATCAGAATCTCACAAGGCCACAATACACTAGTTCGGTATATGAAGAAGAGATGCACCGAAATAGTGTGTTGTGGGTAGGTGGACAGAATTCTTGTGAATACTGCAATATTGTGGATTTAGATTTTCTCCTCAGAGAACCCGTCTTACAAATGATAGTTTACAAGCACGAAGATGTTCCAGATGTACGGCTTGGGAGGAATGCTCCGTGAGGAGGAAATCCGAACTCCCGCCATACTTTATAAGTCGAGTTGAAACGTAAATCAGAGGAATCTTAGGCGGTTCTGATTTCTGAACACCAATCATCGATATGTTGCATTAATCCAATCTCATAATACTTGTTTATCTTATAGCTTTGTTGTTTGTCAACCATGCAATTCCTCGCT